GCATTTTCACGTGCAAGGTCTGCACGATGCACAAGCAGAAAATGAGAACGCAGATTATGGCAGCACTACCACCGGAACGCTGCAACTTCGCTCTGMMTTTYACCACCACAGGTGTCGACTTTGCTGGGCCTTTTCAAATAAAGGCGTCCATGCTAAGGTCTCCCACCCTCATGAAAGGCTATGTGGCTGTCTTTGTCTGTTTTACGACAAAAGCAGTACAYCTTGAGCTCTGTACCAATCTGACAAAGGAGRYTTTCCTCGCGGCATTTGCTCGCTTCGTCGGACGACGTGTCATCAGCGATAATTGTAAAACATTTATCGGAGCTCACAGAGCCACAGAAAAACAATTTGTGGATTTTATGAAACAAGTCTAACTTGACATTGTACAAAAATATGCTCCCCAAGTTATCAATTGGCAGTTTATTCCCCCAAGCGCTCCACATATGGGTGGTTTATGGGAATCAGTCAAGTCTCACTTGACATTGTACGAAAATATGCTCCCCAAGTTATCAATTAGCAGTTTATTCCCCCAAGCGCTCCACATACGGGTGGTTTATGGAAATCAGTCACATTTCAAGAAGCTAGTTGGCAATTATAAATTTAATTATGAAGAATTTACGACATTGTTAACCAGAATTGGAGCCGTTCTCAACTCACGGCCCAATTATGAAGAATTTACGACATTGTTAACCAGAATTGAAGCCGTTCTCAACTCGCTGCTCTCTCGCAAGATCCATCAGACTTTACAGCCCTCATACCAGGGAATTTTCTTAAAGGAGCGCCCATTCTGGCCACACCTAAGCCAGGCGTGGAGTCGGTTTCCTTATTAAATAGATGGGAAAGAATTAAAATTCTCCATCATGGTTTCAGTCTTCGATGGAAAGAAGATTATTTAAAGGACCTCCACAGAAGGTACCGCTGGAAAACACCAGAAAACGCGCCTAAGCTGGGACTACTGAATGGAGACTTGGCCGCATAGAGAAGCTCTACCACGGCTCCGACGGTCACATTCGAGTTGTTAATCTTCGTACGCAAAACGGAACACTAACTCGGCCGCTCGTTAAACTATGCTTTTTGCCCACAGCCGATAAAACCGACACGTAAACCGTAAACAATAAACGATAAATCGATATAACCCGCAAAACGAACCACCAATAGTAATTAATGAATCGCAAAAGTAATAATAGATTCACTTCGCTTTTTACTTCCGTATGAGTCGACACTCCAAGCACTTGCGCATAAGCCTTTTTTTCCGCTTCAATGTTCATCATCGTACGTTGATTCCACCGCCGAGTTCGGTATTCGATCATTATACATATGTATAACGAGTGAAGTGCCGCTAGAGTTGTCCGTCCCTGTTTTTTTTTTTTTTTTGAAAGTTGTTGTGTTCTAGTTGGTAGTGTGATGTCATGTCTGGGTGTATTGGGGTGATGTGGAAGGTGAGTGGTGAGTGAGGTATGCTGTTTGTTTATGATGATTTTGTCTGCCAATGTGGGGTGTTGAAATGTGATGTAACGGTGTAGACTGAGATTTCTTCATAATATGGTACCCATTGCGGTTTTTCAAACTTTCGCTCCTTCTAATATCGTTATTTCTTTTCAGTTGTGAACTTATTGATTGATAACTGTGTCACTGATGCAAATGTACATATATCTACTGATGCAAATTCATCCTTATTTACCAGGTTGTACCCAAAAAATGGAGATAATATCTGGATAAAGTTTGTCAAATTTATCTTCCGTAATTTCATTCAGGAAATAGCTTTGTTTTCTTTATTTTTCGTACTTTCATTTGGGAAATTATAGCCTTTGGATTGAACTCTATCTTGTATGGCGTTTCTGTAATATTCCACATTTGCCTTATCAACAATAACGTCTCTTGTTCTTATTAAAGCTTCTGATATCTTCATCACACAATATAAAACCATTCGGTTCGTATCGAACAAGTATTCATGTCTTTGATTTCTCGTCAAATACACACATACAAATCCATGTATAAATTTTTTAAACTTGAGCACTTCCTCCCTCCGTTTATGCCCTCAAATTGCGGAGCCAAAAGTATCGCAATCGTGACGCTTTTGCTTTCCGGGATTTTGTAGGCATGGCCATTGCCTGATTCCTACATTCCATATCTTTATACCTTGAACAGGGTATATTAAGTTTGTCACGAAGTTAGTAACACTCCAGAAGGAGGCGTCGGAGACCCTATAAACTATATACATATGTATATAAATGATCAGTTTGTTCAGCTGAGTCGATTTAGCTATGTCCTACTGCCTGTATATATACGAACTTGACGGTCAGTTTTAAGATATCGTTTGGAAAGTTTGCAAGCATAATTTTCTCTACAAGAAGCTGCTCATTTATCGAAACTGCCGATTCGGACCAGTATAACTTATAGCTGTCGTACAAACGGAACAATCGGAATCAAGTTATTGTATGGAAAACTTTCACATTTGACTATGCATGTTCACAGGCACAGGTAATAATATACAAGGAAATTGTTCAGATCGTTTAACTATAGCATAAAGATGCCATACAAACTGAACATTAGGAATCAAGGGCTTTGGCATTTGACGTGATATCTTCACGAAATTTGACATGGATTGCTACTTTAGGTAATAATATAACCTCCGAAAAAAATGTTCAGATTGGATTACTATAGCATATAGCTTCCATATAAACTGAACACACCTATGACGGGTGTATAAGATTCGGTGCAGCCGATGTTAACGGCTTTTCTTGTTTTTTTTTTTTTTTGTATATRGTTTTGCTTAATTTAATCGATACATGTTCTGCTAAGATGGTTGCGATGCAAACTGAACCAAAGGAACGGAATTCATTATAATGAATATGTGAAGTGAAAAGTGAACCAGAAATGATTATAGTAGAAATATAGAGGTAGACCAATGTCTAGGATTCAGCGCCACAATACCCAACAAACTCAAAATATATTCGGGGATAAAATTGTGCGCAGACGCTACTCTGCAGATTTATAAACATTTCGCATGTCATACATACATCCAAACTTATGATTTTTTTCTAAGTGCATACTTCCTGGTATAAGTTAAGTTTACTTACTGGAGGTATTTGCGAAAAAACCGTGAGATGGGCCATTAGATTTACCAAAGATTCTCTTTCTGAATCGCTTCGGAGTTCTTTACACTTATGCAAAATGTTTTTTCCTAAGCTTTGTAAACGAAGGGTTTTAAAAGAAAGAATCCATTACAATTTTTTTGTAAGTATTCCTGTCACTTTCGGGCGGTACAACGGTATCTTTTTTCTCTGTTGGTCTATTAAATCGGATAACCATTGTTGGTTAATTAAAGCACTACGAGCCAACTGATTAAAATGTATAAAAGGTTTCAATTTATCCTTTCCACTTCGAATTTCTTTGTTTGGCATTTTGATTCTGCAAATTCAACCAGAATTTTTAATAATTTTAATCAGCACTACACAATTAAGCAAAATATCTTCAATTTGTTTAAAAAATTAAAATCCTAATGAAATGACATAATGATTTCTGAGTAATTTTACTTTTAAAAGTTCTATAATCTGGTTGTAGGCTTTTTGTGGTTTTCAAGTAGAGTAGTCAGTTAATTTATAATATGACCGAATCTTAATTAATGAAATTGAAAAGTAATAACTGTGYAATTTTGTTTTGAAAAATTTTACTATTTCGTTGGAAGCCTTTTATTGCAAGTATGGTTGCTTTTTACTATACGAGGTGTGTTCAAAAAGTATCGCGGATTTTATGTTTTTTCAAAAATTATTTATTTATTCATGAATATCTATTTTGTCCCCTTCAAAGTAATCCCCATCAGATATTATACACTATTCCCAACGGTTTTTCCAATCTTCGAATCACTTCAAAAAATAATTTTTTTATCTTCTTCAGCTCCTTCTTCGTTGCCGTCTTTATCTAGTCAAGAGAAGCGTAACGTCGTTGTTTCATGGGCCTCTTCAGGTTAGGGAACAAGAAAAAGTCACAGTGGGCCAGATCTGGGGAATACGGTGGCTGCGGCATCATTAGTGTGTTGTTTTTGGACAAAACGTCGCGCACAAGCAACGATGTGTGAGTAGGGGCGTTATCGTGGTCCAAAAGCCAATTTTTGTCTCGACTTCTCGGCCTTCTGAGAACATTTTGTACCACCGATAAACGTTGCTTCGGTCCAATGTAAGTTCTCCGTAAGCCACACTCAACATTCGGAAAGCATCCGCGTACTTAATTTCGTTTTTCACACAAAATTTTTTACAGGTTCTTTTATACATTTTTTTGAATAGGTAAAATTCGAAGACGATCCAAAACACGTGCAAGCAAAGCAGCTTTCAACAATTAAATGAATATTCAAAGTGGCCGAGCTTGTCGTATTTAAATAACTGAACGTGATCCAACTAACATCAATTTGTAGTTCTCAAAATTTGTAAAGATCAAAGGAGACAGTTTTCCGATGTTGGCGAAACTTTAACATCATTCGACGAAATTCTGTTTGAATTGTAATCATCAGGGCAACCCAAAAATTGCACTAAAAACTTCATTTTTTGCGCAATAAAATTGCTGCAAAAATTGCGTTTTTTTTCACTTAAAATTGCACTTTAAAAAAACCTTACAAAATTGTTTTACCTAAATTTTATTTTTATAATATGTATATAAAAGAGACAAAAAACTTAAAAGAGTACGTATTCATAGTACCAAAGGTTTCTCTTGTTGTAAAAAAGAAAAATAAACTTAAAAAAGTACTTATTCATAGTACCACAGACTTTCTTGTGAATTTAAAAATGAAATAGAAATATTTTAATTTTTTGACTTATTGTTTGAATAAATCACAAGCATTTGCATGAAAATACTTAATAAAGATTGTTAATCGCGATTGTCGCGAAAAATAGATTTATACATCGAAAACGATTTTTCTACTTCAACTGAAGTCAGGGGTTCGAATCTAAAAGCGCAAATTTCTGCAATGTCGTAATTTAACGTAGCATCAATCTTCTCTCCACAAATTTGATTCGATATTTCTTTTATTATTGGAAAACCTTTGTTTTTTGTKAAAATCGAATTAAATTTTCGTACTATAATATCGTTACCACTTTGTTGAAGTAATTCTTTGGCCTCCAATATTACTCTAAGTTGAGTATGCAGAGCTAATCCGTTTGATTCCAAAGTTTTAATTGATTTGAGTATAAACCCGAAATTACTTGAGATAGAAATTAAGTTGAGGCGGACGTCATCATCGTTCAGAATATCAATCTTTTAACTCTGCTACATGCACCAGAAAATGTTTTTTGGCCTCTTCGGCATCCGTATCCAATATGTCACAGACGACGTTAGCAATGTATCTCCCAGACGATTCGGTTGTCTCGTCAATCGATATCCACAAATATTTGTTTTTTATTTGCATTCTTATGGTTTCAAGAGTTTCGTTGTAAATTTCACAAAATATTCTACGCATGGAGGTTTCAGAAGGAATAGTTAAATCTACATATTTTCCAAAAAAACTTTTTAGGTTTTCATTCCTTAATTTATAAAGTGGAATGTCGGATGCAACTAATGCTATGCATAAATCTTGCGCGAACTGATTTTGATTGGAACTTGTGGTTTGAGTTGATAATGGCTGCGTATTTGTTGATGATTTTTTTTCCGCTTCACTATGTGTCAAACTTGCAAACATGCGATTGCAAAGAGTATAATCTTTCTGACGACACAGACTTGTTCCAAGCTTTGCAAAACAATACGACGCCTTCAGTTTTAAAAATAAGATATTTCGCGACATAAGAAGCTAATTTATCCGTTTTTCGCTGTTCTGCTCTCGGCATTATCTAAATTATAGAATAAAATAAATAAATCACTTTGTGTAATTGAAATTGAATAAATTTACCTCACTCGAGTCTGCAACCAAAAATTAGCTACATGCCCGGCCATGCTATATAACTTTATGTTAGATATGGTAAACTTCAAAACATCTGTTCACAGAGATGTGAAATATGATAATTTGTGTATCGATAATTTTTCAAATGTAATCGAAATTATGAAAATGGCTACTGGAAATTTCATTTTTGCATAAAATTGCATTTATTGTTCAAATTGCTCCATAAAATTGTATTTATTTGCAAAATTGACACTAAAAATTCATTTTTACAAAATATTACATTTATTGCTAAAATTGCAAAAAATTGCAACAACAAGTTTAGTTTAAATTAAAGAGAAATTTACAAAACGTATTTCTAATTAACCGGCATTAGAATTGCGATCATGGCAAACAACTTGCAAATGCAATTTTTGGGTTGCCCTAGTAATCATATTTGCTTCGTGTATATAACATTTTATTTAAAATAATAAATAATAAAATTAAATAATATATATAATATATACATAAATATATAAGTTATATAAACTCAACCAAAATAGCAGAATTTAAAAAATTGAGTACATACGGTGTTCAAATTGAACATGTTCGTTGCTACCAAATGGTGGAGTGCATCAACATAATAAGATAAGATAAGAAATATGTAAATATACATACCGTCCATGTAAGTACATTAAMTATCTATGTTCAAATAATATAAACCCACAAGCATATATACATATATATACTATATACTATATATTAGGGTGATTAAAAAAAAAAATTTTTTTTCATTTTTACTCTGAAAAATTGGTTCCTAGACATCTCTAAGGAAGCCTCTCCAAGAATGAGCTCTTAATTGTAACGGGAAGGCCCTCCTACTTACAGTTTTCTATTTTTATTTTCTCTATTTTTATACCCTGAACCTAATATACCATATTAAGTTTGTCACGATGTTTGTAACACCTAGAAGGAAGCGTCGGAGACCCTATAAAGTATGTATATAAATGAACAGTATGTTAAGTTGAGTCGATTTACCCATGTCCTTCCGTCCGTCTGTGTCAGCTCACGACTTCCAGTCCTTGACCAAGTATCCTCTGAGTAGCCTAAGAACATCCGTTTGAAGGTGAGCTAAAGTGAGAA